CCCATCCCTTAAATAAAATTGGGTGTATGCACCATTGTACTATGTATTTCTATGGGCTCTGTGCAAGCCGGTCAAAGAGCCGTCAAAAACGGCAAAATTTGAGAAAACAGTACAAACTCAACTTTGAAGTAATCCTGTGGCAATCAAATGTATATATGTTGATTCTGCAAGGGGTAATCTTGTTCAAAAGAGTTGTGGTTGCCAGGCGATGAAAATGCCTGAATGTCTGCCTCTAAGAATAATAATAAGAATTTGTTAATGTTACAGGCTGTACGAGTAGACGACATGTTATTGTTTGGAAGTACAATCCTTCTGGTTGTATCACAGCATTGCAATGTAGACATAATGTTGACAGTTTGACTTATAGTAAGTATATAAAAATAAATTAATTTGCATAATTATTACTTGTTGGCTCTGAAATTAAATTTCATTTCTGCAAATATTGAAGAATATAAAGAAAAAAAGTGCAGACAAATTCGGCCGAGGAAGTCTGTTGGTAAAGAAGCCTAAACAAAATCTTGGTGGGCATTTGTATGTAAGGTTAATTGGGAAACAATTTACTAGTACCCCCAAAGCAACTTACATGTGCTTACAAAATATATATAAATTAATTATTCATATATTCATGTAATTATTTATTTTATCTTCCAGCTTCTAAGGCTCCAATTTTAATCTTTAATGGAGGCAGTGATGGCAATGTTCATAAATGGGAAAGACTACAATCAAATCATTTTATGTATAGGTTAGTAGACCAATCACAACACCCCTTACCAAGCATAATTGGAGCATTGTAATCCAATCAAATTTGTTGTCACAACTGCCAACAATCCAACCAACCAATCAAAAAGCATCTTTCTTTATTTGCAATGAATAAATTATGTTCTGAGACTCACAGTTTTGTCATTTTTTTTTCAGTAAAGAAACTTTTCCATTGGGAGATGCTAAAAGTAAAGTGATACAAATCAAAAACATTTTGAAGAAAGAATCAGAAGGGCAGCAGAGACCAAAAACGGCGCCGACCAGATCTCACCAATCACGGGCCACCAGTTACTATACATTTAATAAGCCAATCATGCCTGCTGTAAGTACATACTAACATATCGTTGGTCAGGTTGATTGAAACTAAAGTTAAATGACAATTTGAAAAACCGTAATATTTATATAACTCCCCTAAATTTTGCTTGTTTTTATGTAATTTTCTATAATTTGTTTGATTAATTTGATCAAATGACATAGTTGTTCATGGACAAGTTTTGAGTTCTGCTATTAGCTTAGGAACTTGTGCGTTCTGGTGTAAAAACAGTCAAATTTTGTCTGCATAGGGTGTTGATTTTGCCATGTTAATGTTTGATAGCTCATCAGAATGACAACAACCAGGAAAACCAGTGAATACATTGTGCAAGCTAGAAACCATCTTATAATTCTTGCACGTAAACCTACTGTTGACGCTATAACTCGAAACTCGTTTATTGGTCCTTGAAAAAAATGACAATTAGGTATCTAATCAAGGATGAGTGATTTCCTGTAAAGCAACCATTTCTATGATTCAAAAGATATAAAATGACAATGACAATCCCAAATAAATCCCAAATAAATCCCAAGTCAGGTGATCGGCATTCTCTCGCGTCCCATAAATGATGCGATGCCGCTCGGCTGCGTCTTTGGAAGTGTCTAATTATCCAATAATGGTTTTTATTTGGTGAAAGATGACGAAAGTTGACATTGGTTCTCAAAGGGGTGATGTCTTTTTAACAAAAGTGAATGTGATAAAAATAATTGTATTTTAATTCACATTTTTTTTTTCACTTTTCCAGTCTAGAACTCATCAAGCTAACGTTGCACATCTGAAATCAATATTTGTGGAAACTCTAGATCTCTTACTTGTTGCTTCCGAAGACAGCAATATTTGTAAGTGTGGTTTCTGTTACACTCCACTGCAGTTATTATTCAATACTTATTTATGAATAGTTAAATGAATATTTGATACTATGAGATATGTTTGTGTGCATGTACATATATGTATAAACTGAAAAAAGGATAATTTTATGTCAAAGATTTCTTTGTATATTGCAATGTTGTATGGCTGAACACTGTACAGATTGAGAAAATTAACAACTAGCGGATTCTGCCGTAAATTCGCCTAGGGCCATTAAACGGCAGTTGGGGTTTTTAAAAAAATGAAATGGGACCAAGTAAACCGCAAATTTACGGCAGAATTCGGTAATACCTGTATTTGCTCTATTAGAAGTGCATCCCAAATTCAAGCACATGTAAACCACATTATTGTATATTGGATCATGACTAAATTTGACAACAGAATGTGAAACCTCTGCAATTTATATAAGCACATGTATGCTATTATCAAATTTGTTTTATTTAATAGCCCTCGCAAATTACAGATGAGTGTTCAAAGTCAAAATAAGTAATATTTCAATGATTTAGTATATAATAAATCTGATTTTTGTATCATACATTGTATGCACTTCTCATAAAGAAAATACTGTTATAGAGCAGATATTGTAGTCTTGTTTTCAAGAAATCAAAATATGCATCGCAAGTTATTTCTATCATGTGATTTAAAGCGAGGGAGTCGTCTCCTGTGCATGTGTCAGATGGCCATAGTGTGCCATTGTTTACATAAAAGCGTCTACCCATGCATTGCCTTTGCTTTTTTATCGTGTGTTGGTATCGTCGATTGCGACTCGATTCCCGTGCATGCACAGGTGACCACCCTCCTGCTTTAATCATTAAAGCATCAACCATTCGTTGGTTTTTAGTCCCCGTTTGAACGCAGTCCGAAAACGGGGACTTATGTTTTGACCTCTGTGTGTTTGTGCGTGTGTGCGTGCGTGCGTACGTGTGTCTGTGCGTGCGTCCGGACCTGTATCTTACAAATGCTTTGACCAATCACAATCAAACTTCACACATACATCATACATGATATTATACATATGCACGTCAAATTGTTTCACGATCTGATTCAAGATGGCCGAATGGTGGCCATTTTTGTGCTAAAAATCATCAAAATCAAGCATTTTTCAGCTGTTTACAGATGGATTTTGTTCAAAATTGGTATATATGTTAGATATTATAGGAACTTGATGCACATCATTTTGTTTTACAATCTGATTCAAGATGGCTGAATGGCGGCTATTTTTACGCTAAAAAATCATAAAAATCATGCATTTCTCTGCTGTTTACAGATGGATTTTGTTTAAAACTTAGTGTATACATTAGACATTATGAGACCTTGATGCAAATAATTTTGTTTTTCAGATTAGATTCAAAATGGCCAAATGGTGGTCATTTTTGTGCTAAAAAATCATAAAATATCAAGCATTTCTGGCATTTATGGATGGATTTCGCTCAAACTTGGTACATACATTAGACATAACGGGTTCCTGATGCACATCATTTTATTTGTCAGATCAGATTCAAAATGGCTGTCTGGCGGCCATTTTGTTTTAATGAATGGGTTTCCAGACCCATATGTCTGACTTGTTTTGTCTAATTATGTTCAAATTTTTAATATTCATTATACATCATGTCATAGATATACGAATATATTGATTGGATTGACGATCCCTTTCAAAGTGGCCAAATGGTGGCTATTTTTGTGCTAAAAAAATCCTCAGATATCAAGCATTTCTTGCATTTATGGATGGATTTTGTTCAAACGTATAACATACATTAGACATTACAGGTTCCTGATGCACGTCATTTTATTTTTCAGATTGGATTCAAAATAGCTGACTGGCGGCCATTTTGTTTTAATGATTGGGCTTTGAGAGCCATATCTCTTAAATGCTGTGACTGATTATATTCAAATTTTATATATATATATATATATACATATACATGTATTCAAAATGGCTGATTTTGAATGCTGTTCCAGAGCAATATCTCTCAATATGGATAAGTACTTGTTTGACGATTAGATACAAATGTCAATCATTTTAATGTTAAAAAATCATATTCCTGACATGGTTATATTCAAGCTATATTACTATAAACAAAACTATATATCTTAAATTTGATAACTAACGGGAACTGTGCCATGCATGGCATGTTAATTTTGCTAATTATGCAGAAAAGTAAAAAATGCTGAATTAAATCTATGTGAACATGTAAAACAACTATAGAACTTATTTTTTCTCTGTCAAGTTCATGAAATAGCTCAAAGCTTCAAAATAGTGAAAATAAATGGTTTACAGTATACTACCATCGTCTTATTTTTCAGATGTTTGGGGGTTTGATGACGATGCCGTCAATGCTTTACAGCACATGAAACCTGAAGGCCAAGAAGATCTTATAAAAAAATATGGTATTTTACTTCCAAGAGACTCTCTGTTACTGCCACGTAAAACGCTACTTAGGAAAAACTATTTAAATGCAATACACAATGGTCAGGTATGTGGATATTCTTTTGTTACCACTCAGTAATCCATCTTTCATCAAATAAATCCAGCATAATTTTTTGAAGATTTTTTTTTCAAAATTTTGATTAAGATTACAAATCTTGATCAAGTAATGGAAAATTATATACTATAAAATGACTAATTTTCACTGGGTTTAATTTTCGCTGATTTACCATTTCAGGCATCTTCAATGGGTTTTAAATTCACGGTTTTATCATTTAGATAATGTGTTCTATGCTAAATTTTACATATTCACTGGGTTTTAATTTAGCGCATTTTCCAGTCAGCGAAATAAGCAAAATTAAAACCCAGTGAATACATAAGCCTTTTACAGTACTGGTATGTGTTCCAAAAGTATGGAAATAAAAAAAATTACGAAACAAATATATAATTTTTTTGACCAAAATTTTGGCTGGAAAAAATATGGAGTCAAAAAGATTGAAGGTCAATGGTAAAATATCACCACTTATATTTTCGTGAATGTTGTACAACAACCAGATGTCCCGTGGTTGAAAATAAATTTTGGCTATTCTGGGTGGTGGTCATCGGGGCATTTTCAACGCCTGGCAACAGTGAAAACATTGGTCGAAAAACTCTTGGAAAACTGTACTTTGGGCTGGTTGTTGAGACTATCCTGAAGAATGTAATAAGAATACTCCTATATAAATATATCAATTTGGTTGTGTCAGATTACTTCATAGTTGAGTTTCTTCTGTTTTCTTGACTCCATCTCTGCTCCTCCTAGCTCAGAGCTCATAGAAATACATTGTACAGTAGAATGTGTTCAAGGAACATAGAATGTTTTGTGATGTAACTCCGCCCCCGAAAATATTATATATAATTTAATATAGAATATAAATTATCACTATTTATTGTGCAAGAGTCCAAATTGTTACCATTCAACCATGCTAATATAAAAATTCTCATCAATATCGTTGAGAATAATAACATTTGTCACCTATTGTAAGAAAGTCTCAACTTCTTATTCTAGTCTCATACTTTTTACCAAAAGTGTGTAATTGGAACTCTGGATTTACAAAATTAAACAAAATTGTTAAAACATATGGTTGTTAATTAGAATAAAATCTGTATTAGAAGCCGCGATTTCTATTAAAATGGTACAATGCAACAGTGGAGATACGGTTTCTATTACGGTAGATCATCTACAAATACAAATGTATGAGAAATTGTGTTTTTCTTTGTTCTCAATGGGATGCGACTTCTATTAGGGATGCTACTTTTAATACAGATTTTATGGTAATTATAACATTAATAATATTCAATGATTTGACAATTGTTGGCTTATAGGAGAATGACTCTGTGACGAATCGAGTAGCTGGGTTTGTTTGTAAGAATGTGTTAATGGCTCATCACAGCGTTGTTACCTGTATGGCTGTGGTGCCAAAAGAATGTGGATTTAAGACATCGTATATGGTGAGTTATCATGTGCTGTTACATTGTGGTTAGACATATGAATAGAATATGCTAAAATAGAATAGAATATGCTAGAATAGATCATGATTGCAATGTCATAGAATATAGAATATAATAGAATAGAATAAATTGGAATATTCTAGAATATGAATAGAATATGCTAGAGTAGAATAGAATAGAATAGAATATTCTAGAATATGAATAGAATATATGTATGCTAGAATAGAATATGAATAGCATATGCT